AAACAAGCAAGCCCTGTCCAGATTTAAAAAGTAACGCAAAAGTAACGTAACGCATTACTTTCCATAAAAAGTAACTAAGTAACGTAATTAGTTACTTTTTTATGGAGTAACGCAATATTGTAATGCATTACTTTTAAAAGGAACTTTCCCCAACACTGTTAATTAGTACTAATAAACAGCCAATATGATAATAATAGGCATGCTATTAAGCAACTAGTTAATAGTGGGAATTGGTCTGCATATTTGTTCATTTCATATTTGTCCATTATTTTATTGTTATATTTTTACTACATAATTTACTGTTTTTACGGTTTTAAATGTCCATTTATTTGTCAGTTTGATATATAATAGATTGATAGATAACTGATTCCTTCATTTGATTTTAAGTGGCACTTCTAGTCCTCCATATGGCAAAGCCTCACTTTCAGCAGCCAGTTCTCCTGTGTATAAAAAAACCTTGTACATAATCCTTATGAAATTCTTCTAATGTGCTGATTTGGTGCTTGATAAACTTACATAGCATTCAAGAGGCTTTTCTTCGCTGATTAAGTCTGCTAAATGACTAAATGTAAATGTAAGTTAGAAAGAAATAAGTAGAGAATGGTATGGGTTAAAGAACTTTGAAGATTGTGAACTCTGAAGATGTGAAGTGGGTGGATGCAAGTGTTGAACTGCTGTGCGTATAGTCTGACTTATAAACACCTATAAGAAGTTCAACAGAAAGCAAGAGATGAAACTCCTCCTGAATTTCTTTTCTTACACTGTCTACATCTGCACTGCTGAAATCATCAGCTGAAGACGGTTGACTAGTGTTGGGTGGGAAGATAGAGGAGATGTATCAGGGTGGGATGGAAAAGTCAGACTCCAATAACAATGAGAGGATGGTCCTGTCTCTATCTGGAGAGGTGGGTTTTCTTAAACGGGACAAGGGGACAGGAGAAGAGGTCAAGGTGAGATAAGTGTTCTGTCCACAGGAAGACGACAAACAAAATGTTTACAGTCATTGTGCTAGTAGACGCTTCATAACGACAGAGATAACAGACTCCAAACCACAAATCTCTTCCATAAACTGTGACAAGACGGGAACGACTGGGTGTACGTCTGTGGCTTTCTCATTAAATAAGTTCGTCTCTACCACTGGACATGCTTTTCACTCTGGTTGTTCTTCTACAAGCTGTGAGTACAGCACAGGCCATCGGTAAGCACTTACTGTTTTACACACACACTGCTTATTATTATGAGCTTATTTGAGTTTCATTCTAAGGGACACTGCCAACCAGTTTTCCATTAAGTTTAAGACTGGCAGAAACCAAAACTAGATATTTTTCAAATGACTGTAATTAGCATATTGCTATAATACTATATATTTTACATTTTTGAAGGACATGCTTACCTTTACAAAAGCTGCTTTATAGATCAAACTCATTCCATAATTGATGGACTTTACAGTTATTGAACCAAACTGAATCAACAATGAACCGATTTCAACTGAATAATGACTGTTTACTATTGTCCTTTTAGAGCTGATTTACAGCAGAATTGAAATCTCCTTGCATCACTGAATCATTTTCTTGTTTATCACTATAAAGCTGCTTTGAAACAATCTGTATTGCACAAAGTGCTATATAAATAAAGGTGACTTGACAATAGTCACCACCATGATTTTAGATTGTTGTGGGGGGTTCTGAGTGGTTTTAGTGTGTTGCTACAGTACGTGGTTGCTAAGAGGTAAAGCCAAAATGTTCTTACTAGCCCATCCTCAAGTGTTTTTGATGTTTTGTATTACAGAAACTTCCCATATTAATTCTTGACTTAAAGGGTTAGTAAAAATCATTTACTCACCCTCATGCCCTCATGCCATTCCTTACTGGTACGACTTTTTTCGGCTGAATACAAAATAAGATATTTTGAAGAATCGTGGTTACCTTTGACTACTATTGTATGAAGAAGAAAAAAAACAGTGAGACAATTCACAAATTATCTTGTTCCACAGAAGAAAGTCAAACAGGGTTGGCACAACATGAGGGTAAGTAAATGATGACAGGAATTACATTTTTGGGGTGAACTAACCCTTTAAGACTTGAAGAAGTTTCCTAATTAAAATTACCATGGTTACCAAATATATAGGATAGGATTCTGAGTCAGGATTTTTCTGAAATACAGCTCTAGATATGGTTCACGTACCTCAATGTAAGTTCATGGAAGTCACAAATCTGCTCACTTGGCAAACATCTGCTTAATAAGAAATTGAACTATCAATTATGATTGTACCATAAATGATCCGGGATGGGTTATGTGCCAAAGCTGATTATAAGCAATAGTAATAGTGATGTGTGACATCTAAATTAATATTATTACTTAATCATAGCTGTAGAGATAAAGGTAAAGATTATTATTGTTATTTTTTAGTTAAACATCTCTGGAGGTTAAAATGAGTCAATGCTTTTGGCTCAGTTTCTATTCTATTCTATTCTATTTAATAATTAAATATCTTTATCAA